ACGACTGCGGGGGGTCTACTGGGTTTCAACTCGCCCCACCTTCCGGACCGTCGGGGTCCGAGAAGTCGAAGTTAGAAGTCAATCCGCAATAATCTGCCCCGAGTCACAGCCCTCGGCTCCTGCGTCTGTCTAGGGTCTGGACGCCAGCCTGGTCAAAAATCTGAGCCCGGATCCTACAGATTCAGATTCTGGGACCCCCCCACTCTGGCGGCTTAGAACCTTGAATCCATTTTCTCCCCTCACCTACTTCCACGCACCTGATTAGATGCCTGTTTCTTTAACGATCAAAGACGTGGGCGGCGGCGGGGGTGGTGTGTTCGCTCTCGGCTCCCCAGCCCCTCAGTAACTGTACCATTATTAACATTATAGACATCAGACCTGCTCCTGCGCGCCCTGGCGGCGCTGGGCGAAACGTGCCGTGCTCTCCTAGCTGAGCCCGGAGGCTGATCCCGGTGTCGTGGCTCCCACCCCAGGCCTCCGCGGACTCTGCCAGGGCAAGCACCGGGCGCTCCGGGGTCGAAGGCGGGGGTAAGGGTTGTCTTTCCCCCAGGGCAGGCTCGGGGAACAAAAGCGCTTGCTGGAGAGTGGGCGGGAGTCGCAGGGGCCCCCGGGAGTCCGAGCCCTCGCCTGGGTAGCAACCACATCCTTAGCCGCCCTCCTGGCCCCCGGAGCCCTGTCTCCCTGCCGAATTCCCCCGGCTTCTGCATCCTTGACAAAGTGAGCCAAGGAAAAGGGGTCTTACTTGGCCCCGGAGGTTCCCGGGACGCTGGCGGGGCGGGTCGCTGCGGGCCTGGGAAGATCTCCGCGGAGAATGAGCAAGCCCATTCTCCCTTCTACTCCCCAGCCTCTGTCTTCTAGTCCATCAACGCTTCCAAGTTGTCCCTCGCCCGCTTGTCTACCTGTCCGCCTCCACGACGAAGGCAAAAGAACCAGAAAAAAGGTGAAAACTGGGTGGAGGGTCCACAAGCTGTGCGCCTCACCGGCCGAGCTTCGGTCCCCGCCTCTATGGCCGGCGCCCCTCCCCCGCGCCCAGGGAAGTCTCCGGGACCTGACTGTCCATTCTCGCTATTGGGCCCTCGCCTCCCAGACCCCTCTTCCAGGACCGAGGCTCGCGGAACTGCCCCCCTCCGCGTTCCCAGTACGCCCCCCTTGCTTCACGGACAAAGCAGACACGCCGGCGGCGCCACTCCCTGGCCCTGTCGCAGGGACTTATTCCCAGAGCTAGGGGGCTGCTCGCCGCTGTCCCACTGCAGAGGGACTCTCACCCTTTCACCCTCCTTGAAGACACCATCCCTCTCAGGGCACCCCTGTGCCCTCCCCCGACGTCGTCTGGGGGGACCACAGGCCCAGGCAGGTGGAGTGAAGTTCTGGGTTCTCAATTCTGGTCCGAACGAGAGGTGCTGGTCTCAGCCCGCTGGGCCGCCTGCAGCGACCGCAGGAGTAGGACAGAGGGAAGGATGCGGAGTGTGCGTGCGCGGGTGGGTTCATATTTAATTTACAAAGGCTCCTCGGAACGCCTGGTCGTAGTCTAGCTGCCGCGCTCCTCGCCGGTCTCTCTTCCCCACCTCCCCAGCTCATTAAAATGCTCAACACTCAAATCGGGAGATTGATCTCCTCTGAGTTCCCAAACCCGGGCCATCGACCCACCGCCAGAGAACCCCCCCGGCCCGGGGTGAGGGCTTGGGGGCCGCGCGTGCCCTGAGAGCTCAATGTCTACGGAAAGGACCAGGGAAGGTGGGGGGCTCTCCGGGGCTCTCCCGGAGCCTGTATCCCCTTCCCGATGCTGGCCAGCAACTCCGTCTCCAGGGCTGCAATGGGCAGTGCAGGAGAGTTTTAGCCAAATGCCTCGACATTCCTGCGCCTCCACCTCCTCGTCGCTAAAAGAAATGTCGGGGTTTCGCCAGAGACAGGGAGCGGGAGTCGGGAACAGCGAGTATTCGAATCTGCTGAGGCCGGCTGTTGTGTGAGGGTGTGAGACATGCTGGCGGTGACGGGCCGCGGAGGCTTTGGGGGCTAAGTGTGTGGGGTTGACGGTGCGTTTGCTGGTGAGGCTGTGAAGACGTTGGTGAGGGAGGGACAGGGAGAGAGATGCTCGGGCCTTAAGTTCCCAGCCCACACTGCTCTGGAGGAGCAGACGTTTTGTAACCATCCCTTTGGGTGCTGTTGTCTGCTGCAGCCCCCGTGCCCCATTCTCCCGTAGCTGGCAAGACCCGAGGGTGAGGCGCTTGGGTGCGCCCAGGCCGGCCCACTGGGGAGGCGGAGGCTGACACTGCGCACGCACCGCACCCGGCCCGGCGATGCGCACAGGTCGGCGCGTTGGGCCGTGGGCTTCAAGCGCTGGTTTAGCTACAAAAAACGAGACTTTAAGAGTAGGGCTTAAGAGGCTGGGCAGGGGCGGCTGTGGGCTGGGGTGCAGGCGTTGCTTCCCCGCGCGTGCCGCGGGGTCGTGCGCTCTCCTCTTCGTCTTCGGGTTGGACTGGCGGGGGGGGGGGGGCAGGGGAGACCAGGGCTTGCATCTACCCAGATCCAAGCAAAAATAGCAGGGAGGGTGAGGCGCTCTGCTAACACTATCAATTATGCATCGTGTTGAACGTGGCTTCGGGGAGGAGGCTGCTAGTGGGGAGGGGGGTGCGGGAAGGAAGGGTCCGCTCGAGCCCGGCTGTGCGCAGCTCAGCAGGTCCTACTTCAGGTCTGTTTGTGCCACAGCCCGCATCTGCAAAAAGAGTTTAAAGGCAAAGACACGCCCCCCCTTCCTTCGTGGGCCTTGCCTTCCCCCAAATTCCTCAAAGATGGTTTGTCTCACGTGTTGCGGGGCGTAAAAGCGGCTCGCATTCAATTAGCAGCGAAGCTCCCCGGCCCTGGCGGGACCCGAGCGTGAGGGTGAGTGAGCGTGAATGTGTGTGCTGCGTGCGGGAGGGGGAAAATGGTGAGTGTCCCGGGTGAAGGTGTGCCTTTGAAAATGTGCGTGAATGTAGGGGGGGCCTCAACACATTGACTCGGTTATTATTACATGATGATGGATAATTCTAACATGCGAAGGTCGACTGTGTGGAGGGTGTGAAGGTCTGTGTGTGTGTCTGTACCAATGTGTTTGAACGTGGCAGGCGGGGGGCGGGGAGCGGGGGCAGCGGTGTGATTAGGCATAGTGACAACGTCTTCAGATGTGTAAATGTGGGGGGACGTGGGGTATGGGTGTGCGTTGAACTGGGAAGAGCCCAGACCGGGGGCGGTGGGTGTGGGGGGCGCCCCTTGAGACCAACGTGTCTCCGCCTCGGGGAGAGCCTCTACGGCTTTAACAAATGTGGATGATGCGGGAGGTGGGAGAGGCTGTGCGCGTCCCTGCAGCGCCGGGAGCGCGCCAGGACTCTCTTCAGTCTGCCGCCAGCCAGACGTGGGGGGAACAGACACGAAAGGAAAAACTGAAGCGGGACCTCAAGGCCAGGGAGGTCCCCATACTTACCTGTCCCTTTCTCTGCCCCACCCCTGTCTTTTCCACAGCCAGCAACAGATGTGGAAAGCGCCCTTGGGCAGTATCCTGGCGCTGAGACCTCAAGTCTGGAGAAGGGGTTGCAGTCCGAGGGCAGTGCGCGGAGAGTCAGCGAGCAGCGGGTAAGCCGCGGGGACCGCCCCACAACCTTGACCCAGGTCCCACATGGGGTACCATAACCCGCTGGTGCTGTCGGGGGGAGACCACAGAGGGATGGGGAGGGTCCCTCCCCCGGAAGCAAAGGCAGCGTGGGGAACCCGGGTTCCCAAAGACGGGCGTGTGGGAGGGGCTCTGCCCAACCAGCCAGCGGGGAGCCCTAGGTGGGAGCGGCGAGTCTGCATGTAAGCGCGTTTGTGTGGCTGGGGATAAGGTTTTATTGGGCGGGGGCAGTGGGGGGGGGGAGGTGTGCTAAGGCATCGTGGAGCTGCAGAAAAGGGGCAGAATCCTGCACCTTGACCTGCCGGTTGGGGACTCCTATACCCTCTGGGAGCCTCCTGGGATCTTCGGGGATGGGAGGGGAGATCTTTAGTGACATCCCCCTCAATGCTCCCAGTCCATGCATGGGGGAGGACCTCCTTCCTCAGACGGAAGTTGACACAGCAACCTTGGTTCTCCCCTCGAGGGAGTTGCAGCCCAGGGCAGGCTGTTTCGGGGTCTGAGGGAGGGGGTCCTGCGAGTCTACTGCCCCGGGGCCCGCCTCCCGCAGCAAGTTCTCGGCATTGCCGATCCGCTGGGATTTCCGTCTCGGTGGAGGGCTTTTGTGCATGCGCCCTCGCGCGCCTGTGTGCCTGTGTGCGGGTCGGTTCGTGTGAGGACTCGTGTCCTTGTGTCTGTCAGCTCACACAATGAACAGGAGAGGGAGAACGCTGTACGGAGGCTAGGTTCAGCTGAAAGAACAATGAGGTCTCCAGTGTGTCCATGTCTGGGTGTCTTTGTGTATGTGTGCTAGGAAATGTGCTGTGAACCTCTAAACCCCTGCCGAAGTTGACAGTTTGACGACGGCGCCCAGCGTGTGTTTGTATTGTGTGACTGTCTGGGCGCGTGTGTGAATGCTGTGCGTGGGACAAACAGTTCGAGGAAGGACAACAGGTCACGGACAAAAATACTTTGTCTGTGTACCCTTGTCACGGAGTTAAACGAAGGCTGAGAAACACACTAGGTGTCAGGGCAGAGCTCAGAGCGGACTGAGAGGTCAGCGGCTGAGCCTCTGGAGGGGCCAGTGCCAGATTGAAGGGGTAGGTGTGTGGGGGGGGAATTGGTACAAGTCCGCTAGAAAAGGAAGTCAGGGCCCCGAAAGAGGGCAAGTATTGAATCCTGAGACTTTTTTATTGAGCCCCACTCGTGTCCAAGAGAGACTCCTGGGCACAGAGGAGACGGTTCCTGGGGCCCTAGGGCCTGCCCTAGACGGGTTGGCGGAGGCAGAGCTTAATAGGGGGAGGGAAGCTGGGACTCATAAGTCACGACCTTTTCCCCTCTTCCCCCCCCCCCCCCGCTTCCATCCCCAGGATCCGCTATGGTGCCCTTGCCGGCTCTGTGGCTGGCCTGTGCTCTGCTAGGAGTGGCCGGAGCGTGCCCAGAGCCATGCGCCTGCGTGGACAAGTACGCGCACCAGTTTGCCGACTGCGCGTACAAGGAGTTGCGCGAGGTGCCCGAAGGACTGCCGGCCAATGTGACCACGCTTAGTCTGTCGGCCAACAAGATCACCGTGCTGCGGCGTGGGGCCTTCGCCGACGTCACGCAGGTCACGTCGCTGTGGCTGGCGCACAATGAGGTGCGCACCGTGGAGCCGGGCGCCCTAGCGGTGCTGAGCCAGCTCAAGAACCTCGATCTGAGCCACAACCTCATATCCAGCTTTCCGTGGAGCGACCTTCGTAACCTGAGCGCGCTGCAGCTGCTCAAAATGAACCATAATCGTTTGGGGTCGCTGCCCCGGGACGCACTCGGTGCGCTGCCCGACCTGCGCTCCCTGCGCATCAACAACAACCGCCTGCGCACGCTGGCTCCTGGCACCTTCGACGCGTTAAGCGCGCTGTCACATCTGCAACTCTATCACAACCCCTTCCACTGCGGTTGCAGCCTTGTGTGGCTGCAGGCCTGGGCCGCAAGCACCAGGGTCTCCTTACCGGAGCCCGACTCCATCGCGTGCGCCTCGCCGCCCGCGCTGCAGGGGGTGCCGGTGCACCGCCTGCCCGCCCTGTCCTGTGTACCACCCAGCGTGCGTCTGAGTGCTGAGCCGCCGCCTGAGGCTCCGGGCAGCCCCTGGCCCGCCGGCCTGGCGCTCAGGCTACACTGCGTCGCCGAAGGACACCCCACACCCCGCCTGCAATGGCGACTTCAGATCCCTGGCGGCACCATAGTCTTAGAGCCTCCCGTCCTGAGCGGGGAGGACAATGGGGATGGGGCGGAAGACGGAGAGGAGGAAGGAGATGGGAACGGGCCCACACAGACGGAGGCCCCAACCCCGACTCCAGCACCCGCTTGGCCCGCGCCCCCAGCCAACCCGCGCTTCCTGGCCCTCACAAACGGTTCCCTGTTGGTGCCCCTCCTGAGTGCCAAGGAAGCAGGTGTCTACACCTGCCGTGCCCACAATGAGCTGGGCGCCAACTCCACGTCACTGCGCGTGGCAGTGGCGGCCGCTGGGCCCCCAAAGCACGCTCCTGGCGCTGGCGGAGACTCTGAAGGGCAGGCCCCTACTTCTGAGCGCAAGTCCACAGCCAAAGGCCGGGGCAACAGCGTTCTACCCTCCAAGCCCGAGGGCAAAATCAAAGGCCAAGGCCTGGCCCGGGTGAGCGCCCTCGGGGAGACGGAGGCGGGGCCGGAGGAGGAGGAGGAGGCAGGTGAGGGAGAGGAAGCAGAAGACCAGGTCTCTGCGGATCCCGTGGAGGAGCAACACTGTGGCCACGGGGACCCGTCGCGGTACGTGTCCAACCACGCCTTCAACCAGAGCGCAGAGCTCAAGCAGCACGTCTTTGAGCTGGGTGTCATCGCGCTGGACGTGGCGGAGCGCGAGGCTCGGGTGCAGCTGACGCCGCTGGCGGCGCGCTGGGGATCCGGGCCCGGCGGGGCGGCTGGAGCCGGGCGGCCCGGGCGGCGGCCGCTGCGCCTGCTCTATCTGTGCCCTGCGGGGGGTGGCGCAGCAGTGCAGTGGTCGCGCGTGGAGGAGGGCGTCAACGCCTATTGGTTCCGCGGCCTGAGGCCCGGCACTAACTACTCAGTGTGCCTGGCGCTGGCAGGCGAGGCCTGCCACGTGCAAGTGGTGTTTGCCACCAAGAAGGAATTGCCCTCGCTGCTGGTTATCGTGGCGGTGAGCGTGTTCCTCCTGGTGCTGGCCACCGTGCCCCTGCTGGGCGCCGCCTGCTGCCATCTTTTGGCCAAACACCCGGGTAAGCCTTATCGTCTTATACTGCGGCCACAGGCCCCTGACCCCATGGAGAAACGCATCGCCGCCGACTTCGACCCGCGTGCCTCCTACCTCGAGTCCGAGAAAAGCTACCCGGCAGGCGGCGAGGCAGACGTCGTGGAGCCAGAGGAGGCTCCCGGGGAGGGCCTCGACGAAGACGCAGAGCAGGGGGACCCAGGTGGGGACCTGCAGAGGGAGGAGAGTCTGGCGGCCTGCTCACTGGCGGAGTCCCAGTCCAAGGCCAACCAAGAGGAGTTCGAGGCGGGCTCTGAGTACAGTGATCGACTGCCCCTGGGCGCCGAGGCGGTCAACATCGCCCAGGAAATTAATGGCAATTACAGGCAGACGGCAGGCTGAACCCCCCCCCCGGCCGACTGGCCCGCCCATTCCCATCCCCCACCTTGGGTGCCTGGGAGCAGAAGCCTAGGGCTGGCAGGACATACGCCCACCACCCCACCGCAACCTTCACTTACTCCGCCCCTTTACCAGCCCCAACCTTCACTACTGGGGACTTCCAGAGGGGAGTGGGACGACTGCATCAGTCCCCGGCCACCCACTGTCGTCATTGTCTTTGTGGGCTCAATTCCCCTCCATGGCAAGCACAGTTACTCGCTCTTCTCTCTCCCTGTAATACACCACCCTCTGACCGTGAAGCGAAATCCACGCCTCTCCATTCCCACCGTAATTGTTATCTGCGAAATCTGCTCTGCAACCTGCCCCACCGTGGGCTCTGGAACCAGAGGAAACGGAGAAGACGTTGGAAATATCTGGTGGTAACGCTGTGGCCCGGGGTCAGCCCGGGACCCGGAGCAGCTGTCCCTTGCGTGGAGCGCTGTAGGGTCCCGCCGGGACCCCTACTCCATCCTTTCTGGGGTGCACGTCCCAGAAGCCAGGACTCGGTGGCAACTCCCTAGTTTTAGTTTCAAAGCCCCCTTCCGAGTGGGAAACAAACCCTTCTGTCCCCCCACCCCCAATCCGCTTCTGATCAGCTGGAGCCAAGCCCGGTGCCTGGGGCGCCTTTCAGCTCCGCGCTCCGATTTTCATATTTTCGCGGGGTTTGGGGAGGTTTTGTTTTGTTTTGTTTTGTTTTTTCTTTTTCAAAGACAGCGATACTCCGGGTCTGGTTCTAACACCCCCTTCCAGGCTCTGGGAAAATTGGATGTGTGTGAGGGGGTGGGGCGGGGAATGCGTTTTCTCTCTCCCTCTCTCCTAACTTAAAGGGCCGCGGAACCGCGCTCCCTTTTAACGCGGAGAACGTGGCCTTGGTCCTGGGTGAATTTCGCTGTGGGTGACTTGGGGTTTCCGGAGTTCAAAGCACTCCACAGCTCCGCTTCCGCTGCTGCACGTGGCCCAGACCTGCGTTCGAGGTGCGCGGGGGAGGGGGGAGCAAAGGAAGCCAACCCGGGTCTCCCCGGGCCGGGTCTTGCGTAAGGGCTTGCGCCCTGGTTCACACAAAGCCTGCGCGTGCCGGTGCCGCGGGATCCGGATGGAGAAAAGCGCCTCGGTCCTCGCGTCTCCCCGCCCCGCCCCTCCTTCCACGAGAACAGTATTTGCCTGGCGTGTAGTCCTAGACGAGCGTGTTCTGTAGGAGAAGTCTGTGTTCTGTAAAGTGTGACCGTGTAGTGTAGGGGGGCGGGCGGGCAGGCAGGTGGGCGGGGGGGGGGGGGGGGGGGGGAGGGTGGACGCGGCGCGGCGACTGGGGCGGGGGCTTTTTTTCATTTTTGAAAGTAAACGTCGGGATAGGGGTGGGGGGGTTCGGGCGTCGGGACCTGCCAGTCCGAGAAGCGCAGCACAAGCGCGGCCCGGGGCGGAGTAGCCCCCCCTTCCCCGGAGCCCGCGCCCTTTTCTAAAGGCGTCTGTATGTAAACAGTCAATAAAACAATCGATTTGAACTGGGCTCGGTGACTCTTTGTCGGGGGACAGAGGAAGGAAGCCTGGGGGTTGCTGGAGGAAACTGCAGAAGGAAGGAGCCCCCAGGATCCTCCCATTGGGATCCTTTGTGTGATTTCGTGTTGGTTTGACTGTCCTGTGATTTTGCCAGGTGTTTACACCCGGCGCCTGCTCTTTCTTGGCGCCTTCAACTCCGGGATGCAGGGGGAGAAACCACGTGGGACTGGGGAGACTGGAAATGAGTGTGGAGGGCTTGCAGGGAGGGTGGGATGGGTCTCTGCAGATTGAACGCCGAGAGCTCCGGGATGCGTGCGTGAGTGTGTTGTGTAGGTGCCAAATCCTCCGTGGGTTGACACAGCCGCTATGATGGGGTGTGGTTGCGTGTGTGTGTGGACTGCCTCGTTTCTGTTTCAACTCCAGTCCCTCCGTTCTCTGAGAAACCAGTGGGGGGATTCATGGGGGCAAGACTGCTGCGGCTTGCACAAAAGAAGTCACAAATAACACAAACTACAGAGCAGGCAAATGACGGAGAGCAGAAAACCAACCCGTAAGGTTGGTTCCACAGAACAAGCTGACACTTTCAGTGGAGGAGTTGTGTGTGCATACCCAAGCGTGTGCCTGGGCGTGTGTGTGTGTGTGTGTATGTTTGGGAGGGGGGTGTTCAGTGAATGATGGACAACTGACAAGGTCTGTGAGACTCTTGGGGTGGGTTGAGGTGGGTGCACCTGCAGAAGCAGGGTTGAAAGCACAGATTTAATCGGCCTAGAAGTGAGGCTTCTTGTGGGGAGGAGAACAGGAGAAAGAAAGGACCGGATCAAGCGTGGGTGCTGTGGTCCTGACCAGCTTACAGTGCTGGGGTTGGGCTGGCTGTGTGTTTCAGCTGAACCCCGCCCCCCAAAATAGGGAGTGGCCGGGAAGGGAGCTCTAAGACGAAAGGTATAGAAATAGGGGAGCAGATAAAATTCCATCCTTACTCTCCAGCCTCCAATCTCTTCTCCCTCACCCTGTCTGTATGTACCAAGCCTTCCTAACTGGACCAATCCAGGCTGGGGACTGGGCCCAGGTCCAGGTACCTGGCTTTCTCTCCTAGCCTGTCTTCTAAAAGAGGCTGCAGCAGTGATTCTTCCCATGGCCAGAGCCCTGGTTCCCTGCTCAGACCAGCAGATCTGTGTCAGAGAAAAAGTCTCTTCTGAGAATCACAGCTCAAGCCCTGCCCCTGCAGCTCACCTCACTGCCAGGGACACAGCTCAGAAATATAATCTTTTATTATAAAAGCTTTGTTTTACTTGAAAATGCTGCCTTTGAGCAGGGGGCAGGGGCTGGCTCAATTTCTATAACTGGTTCAGGAATCCACCCACATGATTGCATTTGGCAGAGCCTGGCTGGGCTGGTGAGTGCTTAGCAGTTTGGGCCTAACCCAATTCTCTGGTCATGGGTATGGAGGGAGGGGGGAAAGAAGGGATCCTTCCTGTCCTCCCTGTCCTAGGAATTGGGGGTTTTTCCTGGAGAACCCCTAGAATCCTGAGTGCCCCAGGGGGATGTGTGTTCTGAGAGTTCTGCCCCTCCTTTGTCCTAGGCCAGGCTTCCTAATGGATGAACATACACATCTGAGCTAGCCTAGTGCTCTCAGGGCAAAGCTAGGCCCAAAGCCTCGGCTCACAGGACAGGAATAGGTGGGTGCTGGAGGTGGAGGACCAGGGTGCCGTGACAGTCTGTTGACTCTCCATTGGGATACCAGTCCCCTCAGGCCCTTACCAGCTTCTGTATGAAATGGATGATTGGCACACACACAGAATGGGCTCCAGCCTCTGGCCTTCCTTCTGTCTCTCTCTTTTTTTTTTTTTAAATAATTTTTTATTGTTATGTTAACCACCATACATTACATCATTAGGTTTGGATGTAGTGTTCCATGATTCATTGTTTGTGCATAACACCCAGTGCTCCACGCAGAACGTGCCCTCTTTAATACCCATCACCAGGCTAACCCGTCCCCCCACCCCCCTCCCCTCTAGAACCCTCAGTTTGTTTTTCAGAGTCCATAGTCTCTCCTGGTTCGTCTCCCCCTCCGACTTACTCCCCTTCATTCCCTTCTGTCTCTTTTTAAATTTTATTCTTTCATTTCCTTCCCTTCCCTCCTCTCTCTTCTCTTTTTCTTTCTGCATCTCCCTTATTTCTTCCTCAAAGAATCTCTTAAAATCCCAGGGTTGGAAGGAACCCTGAAGCCTTGCCTAGCTGAGGCTTCAATCTTTTCTACAGAGCCTTCATCAGGTGGTTGTAGGACCTCCACTGTGTTCTCCAGGGATGGGTGTGGTGTCTACATGGGGTGTTTGTCCAGATCAGATGAGGGTCCCCAAACGTGGGTTGATGATTGGGTGGAAGCCGGTGGCAAGGGAGGGGAAAGAATTCACCTGAGGCAGAACAAAGGAGATCAAAGCTTATTGAATCCATCGCAAGGGAGGAGGGGGGCAGGGCCCCAGAGGAAAGGTTGTCTGCAACCGAGTCAGTGGGTGGGCACTGTTTTGAAAGGGGGAAGGTGAGCAGGTATGGTGACTATGGAATTTCCCCTTTTTGATAACTGTGCCTGGTTGTAAGTAGCCCATTGGTCAGTTAGAGCCTATGGATATTTTGAGGTGGGGACCCTGATGGGCCATCCGTATTCAGCCAGGGGGGCCCTGTGGGCCCTTTCTACATTCCATTGCTCAAGTCTGTGTGCCTCTATTATGGGGAGCTCACTATTCACTCTGTCCCCCCAGGAAACCAACTGTCGAGCAGTTTAAAGCACGTCTCTCCCTCTCTTCCACCCCCTAGGCCTGACTCTGCCCCTGGCACATCTCTATGGGAACCCACAGAGGTCTGCCAAGTGTGTACCCACCCCCATCCCTCACTCCAGGGCTGTAAAGCTTTCCATTCAAAGCAGATTTTTTTCCGTGTCTCCAGGTCCTTTGCTAACTTAGCTCTCTCTCCCGTGTATTTTGTCATAAAACTTACCTGGATGCAGCAAGGGAATGGAGTCCAGTGGGTTGAGGAGTGTGTGTGTGTGTGTGTGTGTGTGTGTGTGTGTGTGTGTGTGTTGTAAGCACATGTTGAGGGGACCTGGTAAATGGTCAGAGAATGCAATATGACAGCAGTAGCCTTGGAACTCAGAGCAATTTATCAGGAGTAGTAATTCTTTGAGCTACAGAAACCAGATGCCCAGGATATGGCCTTGAATCAGATTGGAAACCTGTCTGCAGAAAGGTGATTTGAAAGAGTGCCCCCCCCACCGCCCCTGCCCAAGTGTCTCCTAAAGATCAGCTGGAATGAGAACCATCTTGAAGATCATTAGAGAAAGTCCATTAATACAAAAGGACAAAGGGATGCAGGGCTTCTTTGAGGAAGAAGCATCTGGACTGGGTCCAGTGCTTCCGGATCTTGTGTTTAGAATGCAGCCCTCCATCCATGACATTGGAATAACAACCACAAATAAA